GGATAGCAGATAATACAGGATACTCAAGAGAATAATAAGGAACATCAATAAATTAACTCTAACACGGATAAGGGAAATAAAAGCAGATTTCACTGTCAGTACACATCTCGTTGCAGGCGTGCAACCCGATCCCATTTCTCAATGTTTCCGTGGTAGGCGTACCACCCGCTCCCATTTCATCAAATCTCGTGGTAGGCGTACCACCCGCTCCCATTTCATCAAATCTCGTGGTAGGCGTACCACCCTCTCCCATTTTATCAAATCTCGTGGTAGGTGAACCACCCGCTCCCATTTCATCAATATCTTGTGGTAGGCGTACCACCCGCTCCCATTTCAATTCAACACAAAGTCACAATAAAATTCCGGCAAGGAAAACAAAGCAATATAATAATAATTTCCCGGCAAGGGAACAATAATATCAAAATAACCATCCCAGCAAGGGAGAATCAGCTATAACCAAATCCTAGCTCAACTCTTACCCAGCTCGATTAATACCGGTACTCAAGCATAAATAAGTCCACGAAAATAAACTAAATCTCTACTCAATATCAAGACTCATCAATTTAAAGCATCCGAAGTGTCATTTAAGAACACAAAAACTATCAATTTAAGACTCACGGTCATGCTCGACACCAACGTATAGATACTCGTCACCATCCCTATACGTCGTACTCAACAAGAAGCAATTAGCAAATAAGACTCAACTCCTAATCCCTCAAACTAGGATTAGACCAAACACTTACCTCAAACTTCCATGGCCAAATCAATCCTCAACAACCGCTTTCCCTCTCGAATTCGGCTCCAAATCAATCAAATCTAAACAATAATGACGTCATAACATCAATACATGCTAAACAAATCAAGCCCAATGCCTAATTATAGATTTCCAAGCTTTCTTCCCAAAATTCCAAAAATCGACCCCGGGCCCGCTTGGTCAAAACACGAGGTTCGGACCAAAATCAAATCCCCCATTCACCCACAAGCCCGAATATATAATTTGTTTTCAAATTCGACCCCAAAATAAGGTCTAAATCAAGAAAAATCAAAAATCCCTAACCCTACCCATTTCTCTAATTTCTACCCTTAATTACATGTTTTAGGCTTAGGAATTCATTATGTTGAAGAAAATGGAAGGAAACAAGCAAGGATTACTAACCCAAGAAGTCATTAGTGAAGGATAGCTTCAATGGACGCCTAAGGACCTTGGAGAAGAAGGAGTTCGTGAATGTTTATGAAAATCCCGTAACAACATTATTCTGGAATTAAAAATATAACTGGGCGAAATTGTTCTACGCGATCGCGGACAATCGATTGCGATCTCATAGGGTAAGGTTTGCTGGACACTGCGATCGCGGACAAAAGATCGCGATCGCATAGGGTAAGGTTTGCTGGGCACTGCGATCGCGGACAAAGCTTGCGATCGCATAGAAGAAAATTGAAAGCTGGGCTTTACACAACGCGATCGCAGAGTGGAAAATGCGATCGCATAGAAGAATTTGTGAACCCCTGAAGTTTGCTCTATGCGATCACGACCTTCCTTATGCGATCGCATAGAGGAAATCACTGGACAACAGATGACAACTATTTTCTGCAACTTTTCTAAGTGTAAAACAATCCCAAAACACATCCGAATCACACCCGAGCCCTCGGGGCTCCTAACCAAACACATGCACTAACTCAACAACATCCTACGAACTTATCCGATCGATCAATCGCCCTAATAACATCAAAAACAATGAATCAAACCTGAAAATCATGAATTTTCCCAAAACTTCATCAAGTTTCAACTTTTGAAATTTAAGTCCGAAACACGTCAAACGACGTCCGATTTTAACCAAACTTTACAGAAACACCTTAAATCATATATAAGACCTGTACCAGGCGCCGGAACCAAAATACGGGCCCGATACCAACGCGTTCTAATCAAATTTCATTTCAATTTTCCTTAACATTTTCAGAAAAATAATTTCCTTTAAAAATTTATTTCTCGGGCTCGGGACCTCGGAATTCGATTCCGGGCATACGCCCGAGTCCCATATTTTCCTACGGACCCTCCGGGACCGTCAAATCACGAGTCCGGTTCCGTTTACCCAAAATGTTGACCGGAGTCAAATTTATTCATTTTAACATCAAAATTTAGCATTTTTCATAGAATTTCACATATAAGATTTCCGGCTACGCGCCTGGACTGTGCACACAAATTAAGGCGACTCTAAATGAGATTTTCAAGGCTTCGGAAGCACAGAATTCATTTAATACAGGTGATGACCCTTTGGGTCGTCACAAGTAGAATCCTTATGGAAGTAATAAGATGATTGTTTGAAGACATTCTCCATATATAAGATCAGAGACCCTGCCCCTCTAAAACCGGAGAAACTGAAAGGCCAAAGGTTTTATGCGTTTGATAAATGTTTAAAACAGACACCTTTCTCCCTCTTTCCCAATTTATTAAGGAGTTATAGTTACAAGGCTAATTTTTTAATGTAATGGAGTAAATGGTTATGGTTATTATATTAGAATGAGAGAAGAAAACCAAAAATATGAGATAAAAGATAAATGCATTCCCTGGCATGTGAGGCCTGCCACGTCAGTTGTCTATTGCCTAGCTTTATTAATATATATAGATTCAACTTTATTAATATATATAGATTCACTTTAACTATTTGGTTGTCCAATTGTCCTACTAACAATGAACACAAGTTACTTAACAAGCATTTTCATTCCCTATGATTGAAAAGAAGAATGGTTCATATACAATTGCATTTATAGTTCTTCATTTGTGAATTAATAGAATTTATTTGCAACCTATTCTTCTTCTAGTGGTAAGTGAAAAATATAATGATAATATAATCCTTTGTTGAATCCTTCTTCTTTCGTAGTAATAATTAACACAATTTACTTAGGACCCCGTAGTTTTTATAGTAATTGAAAAGCTTGGTAAAATACAATATAGTTGTTTCTTTATTTATTTATTTTTCATAGTAATGGATAGTGTTTGTTTTTCTTTGTTACTTTAGATTGACTCTATTACTCTAACCATAATTCTTTACCCAAATTGCTTTTACTGTTATTTTTGTAAGAATTTAGAGTTGAGTATGCTAAAGTTAGATTGATTTTTAATTTATAATGATGAAAATAAAAGATTTAATTTTAATTTACAAAATGAGCTTATTTTGTTTACTATTATTTATTTATAAGATTTTACAAACAAATATGCTAAAGTTGGAAAAAAATTAATTTACAATGAAGTAAAGAATGATCAAGTTTACAAAAAATGATGTTTTCTTTGTATACTATATAAAGTTTCTGTTGAAGAAGAAGCATTTGAAAGCGTTCCAAAAGACAAAGCTGGACACACGTGAATTTGTGAGCATATCACTTTCATGTGACATCAGTAGCAGTATATCTTTTTGGGTAATTGAAAGAAGGCTGTATTATTCATTAGATTTACACAAATGTACAAGTATATTTATCGTAAATAAGTGCAAAAGTAGGGGCAAAATGAGACCTTAAAAAAGTACGGCAACTCAGACCAATTAACTGTATAAGGATGCAGTGGGATTTAGAGGAAATAATGCTGGTTTTTCAGTTAACACATCAAAAAGTCAAGTCGCTGAAGCAGACGGTGCAACACAACTGAGCAAGGAAAACCAATTATTCTAAAAATACCCCTATGCCAGGCAGACATGTTAAACATGAGCTGC